CCCCAAAACCCCAAAACCCCAAAACCCCAAAACCCCAAAACCCCTGCAGAGAGGGTATATATAGAAAAAGAAATTTGAGTGGTAGTAATTAATAAAATGAGCAACAATGGAATAGACTGGGCAGGCCTCTTCAACTGGTCCGCTAAATACAACGATGGTACCAAGAAAACAAATTTCTCCCCAATGACTAAGGAGGAGAGAGAATGGCTCGAGAAAGCCATGAAAGAGTACACCTACAATGAGGCTGACCGTATGCAGGAGATCATCAAGGTCCTATTCGATCAAGACTCAAAAGAAGAGCAGGAATTGTTAGAAAATTTGGATGAACTTTATGAAATCATTGATATTCACCCCAGGAACAGCACAAATCTTGACCAAGCAGGAGGGTTTAAACTATTAATGGACACTATGCTGAATAACACTCATGAGAAGGTCAGGAAACTCTCCATGGAGATTTTTGCAGCTATCGTCCAAAACAACTCCGAAATGCAAGCTATCGCTTACAAGTATGGAGGTCTTAACCTTATGTACAAATACGTTGATGAGCAGTCTGATAAAAACAAGGAACAAGTCCTTGGTGCTCTCTCTAGTCTCCTCAGGACCTCCGTAGCAGAAATAAAAGCTGAATTCTTCAAAGAAATGAAAGGTCTCGACTGGATCAAGCAAATTATTTTAGAACCAGAGACCACCAAGAGGGCTCTCAAGAAAATATTCTTCCTCCTGTACGACCTAATCGTCAAAGAGACTGACAAGAGTGTTGAGAAGGTACTTCCTGATGATCACCCGATCAAGGACTACATCGTGTCGAACTTTGACATGATCGTCAGGATGCTTAACCTGCTAAACTACGAAAACGAAGAAGACCTCTTCTCTGACCACGTTTTGCGTGAATTCATACTTAACTGAGTTGGTGGTGTCTTCCAGTACAATCCAGAACTAGTGTCAAAAGATATTGAAGAGTACCTGAGCACTTTACTTAGCACAATCAGTGCTAAGATCACCCAGATCAGAGATAACGATGGTGACATGGACACTGTACACCTCTTAGAGACCGAAAACAGCATGGTAGAGAAGATTATTGAAAACCAAGGAGATTTTCTTCTCATTCACTAATACTCTTAATACAGGTCCTTTGTGGTACCTAGCCAGGCAAGCTGGCAGGCTCTCGCTAGCAGCTTAATTTGGTAAATTTCTTATAAAATCTTTAAACTAGTTTACGAGTCTGTGGGACTTGCAGCGCATCAATTGGCCCAAAGTAGCCTAGATTATTCCCCACTCTATAAATTCTTAAGTTTTCTCGAAGATTCTGGAATCTCTGACAAATTGGGGTTTTGGGGTTTTGGGGTTTTGGGGTTTTGGGGTTTTGGGGTTTTGGG